TCTCTGTCTTACGTTGTCGGCTCTTTCAATTAGTAAACTTTTAAGCCAGGTTTTCGTTGGTATAAGCTGCTGCGTTTGCAAATTATTGCGTTTTTTTGAGATTAAATAAAATGCATATATTAAATTGAAAACTGGAAAAATATCAGCTTCATTTTGTTAATTATGACTAATTTTGCAGTTGATCATCACGATTTGGTCGAAGATTTTTAAAACATTTATTTTAACGAACGGTCCAATTTGATTATTACAGGCAAAAGAATCAGCCACTGAAGCAGCTAGGATACAGCCAGAGAAACTTCACGCTCGTCGCAGGCTGACATTTTCGAAAGGTTGACATCAATAAGTCCGTAGCCCGACGTTACGAACATCGATTGGTATGCTCGTCCGCCATATCGTGCTCTTGATTATCTCTATTCCTGAACTGAACAGGCGTGTTGAGAAGCAATGGAATAAAGTCCTATTTAAACGAATAGTTTGGCAGAGGAACGTTACGCGCGGTTTTCCATTCGATACAAGTTTATGATTTGAACCTTTAAAAGCAAGACCATGACATAAATACTATCAAAAGTAACTTAGTTTTATTAGAGCATTTGTCATTTGAAAGTTCTTTTGCTACAGTCGCAGTACTTGGAACTTCCATCCAGTCTTACGAATTTACATCACCGTAGAATAAATTTTAATAAGAAACAAAATTGGCTCATGACTCTATTTCGGCCGTATTGGACGGCTGGTCATATGCACCTGATGTTTGTGATCATTCGAAGACATACACATACATTTTTTAATTTATTTTTTGCGTTTACTTATGACAGCAATGTATGTAAAAATCGAAGTGCTTCGTATCAAATTCCGAAATTCGCCATTCGCAGAGGTTTGATTTGCTTGCTTAGTTCAGCACTCACCCCATCTCCGCGCACTAAGTTTACCTTGCTTAGTTCAGCACTCAGTCCAGCCCAGCGCACTTAGTTTACCTTGCTTAGTTCAGAACTCAGTCCAGCCCAGCACACTAAGTTTACATTGCTTAGTTCAGCACTCAGTCCAGCCCAGTGCACTAAGTTTACCTTGCTTAGTTCAGCACTCGGTCCAGCTCCGCGCACTAAGTTTACCTTGCTTAGTTCAGCACTCACTCCATCCCCGAGCACTAAGTTTACCTTGCTTAGTTCAGCAGTTGTTTCAGCCCGAGCACTAAGACTACCTCAAACCCAAATTCTTTGTGGCCAGACCATAGATAAGCGACTAATGTGCTGTAGAAGTCATGATAAAAACGATGACAGACCGAACACAAAAACTAGTTCGACAACGTACAGTAATAATAAATCGTATAAATTGGATCCAAGCAAGCCCGAGCTCGCATAACTGGCAAGCAAGGTAGCACGTTTGGCATTGCGCACAAAACGATATATTAACATTAAACCAGATTAATGATAGTTTTGAACCATCAATAAACATTATATACAATGGATGTTTCATATCTACAACTGGCAAATAGTTTATCATCATTAATTATGGAATTTACACCTCTCAATGTTACTACGCATCTATATCTAAATTAGGAATTAGGAATTACGCATCTATATCTACGCTTCAAGTCATATCTAAAATTAGGATGTACTGTAGAGTGTATGGAAATAATTTTGATTGTGTAAGGGATAGTTCGGATTAATTGATATTATAGTATAACAGAGCTTTTTAAAATACACGTTATAATTCAGATGACAGAAATTCTTCATATTATTAACAAAATTTACGGGTAGCAAATATTATTCAATCAACATTTATTGTATACCTGTTCATCCTGCCTGCTTAGAAATTCAATAATTCTTCAGACATGTTTTTTTTTCTTAAATATTATTCAAATGAGATCATATGCCCCCAGGAGCCGCATCGCCCTCTTAATCGGCGAGTGTTCGTTTTTTTTTAATTTAAGACGTCTAGAATGATTCTAATTTGAAATGCCTAGTGCTTTGTATGATGGAACTAAACAGCGAGAAAGTTTATAATGCGCCGCCGCCGCCCCTGATATTATAGGAGAGGAATGAACAGCAACGTAGCATGAGCAATTGCGCATGACATTATTTCAATAATAATTGTTTGACGTAAATCGTAATCAAAACTCATATGTAACTAATTGCTTTCAAATGAAATTCGTTAATGCAAAGTTAAAAAGCCTTTGCAATCCTTCATTTCGGTCAGATATTCTCGGTATTTGTATCATGGATTCACAAATGCAGAACAGAAATTTTCCGTATTAACTAGCCCCATTCAATTGGCATTATTAAGAATAGTGGAAATGTTTTTAACTGATCTTTGTACCAAGTTAATTGCATTCGGTTGGATGCTGCAAATGCTTTGAACGCCGTGCAATTCATCAAAAAATTATACTTTGAAATAGCCGATTCGTATCAGAATTCCAGATGTTTCTTTAGTTTTAGCTTTTCTTTATATATTATATAAACGATGTCATTCTGCTTCTACTATTGGCGGCTCAAATATTTCTTTCTTGTTACCGTGTAATAACAAAACACAGAACCGAGTTGTTTCATTTTCACTTGTTATTGAACTCGTTAATTGCTATTAAACTCGTACATTGAACTTACAAATCAAGTTCCTTTGAATGGCGAATAGGATCGTCATTCAAACTCGCACTACAAAATTGATCGTATTTCGTTCTAATTTATATCAGAAGAGAGAGACAGTATTTCAGTTGCATCGTCTTCAGTTGCATATTTCAGTTGCATCATCTTTAGTTGCATCAACTTCAGTTGCATCATCTTCAGTTGCATATTTCAGTTGCATCGTCTTCAGTTGCATATTTCAGTTGCATCATCTTCAGTTGCATATTTCAGTTGCATCGTCTTCAGTTGCATCATCTTCAGTTGCATATTTCAGTTGCATATTTCAGTTGCATCATCTTCAGTTGCATATTTCAGTTGCATCATCTTCAGTTGCATATTTCAGTTGCATCATCTTCAGTTGCATATTTCAGTTGCACATTTCAGTTGCATCATCTTCAGTTGCATATTTCAGTTGCATCATCTTCAGTTGCATCATCTTCAGTTGCATATTTCAGTTGCATCGTCTTTAGTTGCATATTTCAGTTGCATCGTCTTTAGTTGCATATTTCAGTTGCATCGTCTTCAAAATATCTAGATTAGTATTTGAAGTGCTTTAATACGTAATGCAGTGAAGTAAAGCGAAGTATTAATCCAATATCTCATCGGTGTTGCGTGCAGCAGCCAAATAGAAACCCGAACTCGATCCTGATGAAAAAAAATCAAAAGCTGAAAAAAATTTTCTCATAACAAGCACAACTCTAGAAACTTTATCAGCCAATCAGAACGGATTTCATGCTTAATACGTGATTGTGATTGGTTCTCATTCTATCACTCGCAATTGGTTGCTGAAGCTCCCAAACTTCCAAGCCGACGTATCGACCGGGCAAGCAATCATTGACGAGACCCAAATGCCAGTCCGTGGCATTTATCTTTCTCGGGGCCTCGATACTTGAATTTAATATTCAGGTCCTGCCGTGGCTCTCAATGTGCTGGAATTCTCACTAGTGAAAATACCTGCTTAATCCACTATACAATGTGCACCTACATGGACTGTAGGAATGTAATTAAAACTATAAAAATAAAGTTAGATTAAGCTTAATTAACTTAACCGAGTAATACGGAAAAAATGCTGTTATAATAATCATGTAATAATAATAATAATAAACTGTTAATGAGAATTAAAAGTTTTGAATTAATATGTCTCCTCCTATTCTGCTGTGGCTAGAAATATATGAAGTATTAAATCGTTACACAACATGTATTTCAAATTATTCTCGACACTCCATTTCTCAAACCGTTCCTTGATTTACTCGCTTCGAGCAGGAGCCAAAAACTCAGCCCATATTACAGCCGTAATATAGATCGACCTACAGCATCAATTATTCCACTTGCAACAATATTATCAAAATAAACTGTCGATCATTCCTGATATTCCTTTAAGCCTCGTACTGTTCCCGATGAGAAAAATACTAGCAGATCAGAAGGCTTCCGGAAGCGAACTTCAGGCCATTTCCAAGGAAGGTAGAACAGACCAGCTGTAAGCCGCCATGTAAAAAGGATTTTATGGAATGTGAAGCGAGCAAAATTAATCTATCAATAAATAATCTAACAATAATTATTCTAACTATAATTACTCGAACAGGCTGTTAGAGCTGAATTCTAAAAGTTTTGTTAATACAAAGAGAAACCGTTTCAAAAGTTGCTTACAATCGTTTAAATAAATTTTCAAAACATGCTAATTCAGTTTGAAAAAATAACCATACTCCTTGAGATGAATAAAGACACAAAGCCTACAATACAGTTAATTGTTGCCATCAATGAAACTAACTCTTCAACGAACTTCTTAATATTAAGAACACCCAAAGCAACTCTATTTTGATAAAAGGCAAGCATCCTCGCACGTTCGTATTACGAGAGTAACTATTTTTCCGAGAAAGTAACGGAACAGTTCCGAAAAGTAAGTTCATACTTCACATCAATGTGGGCCATTATGAAATCGAGAACTGCTGAGCAAGCGAAGCTGGCGTTTAACCTGAAGGTTGAGAGGAAAATAAAATTAAGAAACACCATTAATTTAATCCCGGCATTTTCCCTCGCTGCAAAAAAGGCCATTACGACGCAAAATTATAAGGAACGACTGATGATGTACGTGAAAAAGTGAGAATTGCTCAAGTATTAACCTTATAGCCAAAGATTCACAAGGATAACAAATTGAAGAATCATTTCTATCAATATCAGTCTCGAAATATATTTAAGTTGCCATTGATAGATATTATCTTTTACAAAAGGTAAACCTTACCTTTTTAAATGATTTTAAAAGGTAAAAGTATTACCTTTTTAAAGGTAAACATTTAATTTCATAACGTTTTCAACACTCGATTAGAGGTGAATATTTTCTCACGTCTAAATTAGAGAAACAATTTTCCAGGCTATTAAAAAGTCAGGTAAACAATTAATTTTATTTGAGACATCGAATTTGCCTAGCATTATCTACATGAGTGAGGCGGTATCCGGACACAAAGCAAGCTTTCTGTCGTGCACTCAATTCAATTCAAATATTACATGAGCGCGAGTGCAGCGCTTTCTTGAGCCATCATTCAACAAACTGCAACGATTTACGATCAATTTTTAGGCATAATAAATAATTGATAATAATCCACACATTTTCAAATGTGTTCTTGAGCAATGAATCATAATTAGAATCTCAGAAAACAGTTACTCAAAAATTGTAGCGGTGCTCGAGCTGGAAAGCGCCGCTCTTTGATAAGAGCAGTGCAGCTGGCAACGGTCAAACCAGGGCTCTCCAAATCAAAATAAACCTAGTTTAATTATCTATCGTCAAAAGTAATGTGGCTTTAATGCGGTTATCAACACAAAATGCACTACCAAACAAACGCAGGCTTGCCGACGTAAGCGAGGGTTAGCGATAGCACAGCTGATCTAACCTGAAAACCAGTGAACGTGACATCGGATACAGCGAAATTTCCAGCTGCAGTAATGCAGATAAACAACGAAGTAATACTTAACAATAGAGATTGCTAGATACTGAGTACTACTCAGCTCCTCTATCTGATCAAATTGTATAAAATATTTGAGTTTTTTAAGATTCAAAACAACTAGAAATATCCGAGTTATTTTTTAAGAGATTCAAAACTACTATTTAAGAAAAGCCAAGAACACTTCTCATCTCTGTTCACATTTTTGTAACCGAATAAATGAGCTCATTAGTGAAGTTATGCGAGATTAAGGAAATTACATGCATCAAATCAAGTCAATATCCCAACTGGCTTACGCAACAGGGACTAAATCGACCTCTTTCACTCACTCATCTATTCCTACACAAAACATTCTTCGTACAACGGTTTAGGGAAACCGTGAAAATTCACCTTAATATTTTGTGTTTAAAATACAAATTCACTTGTAACAAATGTCAGATTTTTCAACATTAAAACCAGATTTTGTTTGGTGTCTTTCATTGTTGTGAAGAATATAATTACAAGACGAGTTAGGAGCTGTAGAGCGCCATGTCTGTCATCACCTCCTGCCGCAAGATGGAGCCCAGCACAAACTCTGCCGTGTGCACAGCTGAAAAAAATATAACTCAGTACTCACTGCAGTGAGTGACAGAGAGCGCATTTTTCTCGTCGACGAAAACTTGAGGTCACGGACAGACAGACAGACAGACAGACAGACAGGGCGAGCACAATAGTGCATTTTTTCCATAAATGAGAAAATGTGCTGAAAATAAAGATCCATAAATATGAATTCTACATGTAAATATAGATATTTATTTAAATATATATATTTATTTAAATATCAATATTTATATAATATATAAATATCTATACAAGCACTTTATATTTTGACCTAAATAACTTAAGTAAATTGATATACACCAACTGCAACAAGAATGGAGCTCCTGATGTATCATATGTGGAGCTTCTGATGGAGCTCTTTGGGTCATAGTTCAAGTTTAGATGACACATTCTCAAGTCTCAAGATGACACATTACTCAAGTATCTAACACTTGAAACTGAAAGATGACACATGAAATTGAAAGAACGCCGGTGGCTTCATCTCTAGTGTCCCACCAATCCGCAACACTCAAATTCGCATATGAATAATATTTGTATGCGAATACATTTTAATGATGGAAGGTCCCTTTACAAGACGAGATTGATGCTAGTTAAGTTTTGTGAGAAATTCCTCATTTCCCACCGTCAATTTGTGTATAGGCTAGGGTTTATTTACGGGATCTATTGTTGGCTTGGAATTGCTTAGAATTCAGTTTCTCTAACTTCATCTGAAGAAGAAGTATTCATCGAGATCAGGGGTTCTGCCGCGGATCTTAGGGAGTCTTCATCATCATTAGTTATCAATTGCATCAAATGATATTTGCCGACAGTGTCAGTCCAAAGTTATACCGCCTTCAAGCAGTGTTCAAAGTCTGTTTAAATTCATTATTCATAGCTCAAAGCCTTAACCGCCGTTTTTGAACCGGTGAACAAGTTACGGTACTTCAACCGAAGTTCAAGTATTTCTACCATCCCTGTTTCTCTATCCCTTGGTTTGTATGAATGTCGTGTGAATTTCGTTTTGTTTATTTATTTTTGCTCTATTAAATTCACTTATCAAATCTGTTGGGAAGTTGGACCTAGTTTAAGGATACAATCAAATTTAATTAAATTCGAATTTCATGTTTTAAATTAAAATGTTAATTCTTTAAAATCAAATAGATTCCTTTATTTGATGTTCTTTGCTCTAGAAGTGCGTTATCTACTTTACGTGACATGCGAAGATCATTATTCAAACCTTAGTCTCAAGTCTATCTCTCTAATTTCTAAAGCATCAAAACCTTCGACTGTTCTTGCTATTTTTTCACGTCCAACTTCCCACCCCTTACACTGATTTCCGCTATTTTCCTGCATTATTCTACCTTCAAAAAGTGATCACCACACTGGACATTTAAACCTCAGGTTTGTTGTGGTTTTTCTGTGCAAATAAATTGACATTTTTATGATTTATTTTGGCTATAATTTGCTACCTCGTAATTTTGCAAGATTTACAATTATAATGTATTTCTTCTACAGTAAACATTAACCCGATCCTGAAACTGGCCGGCCTTACGTGATATCTACGTCACGCATTCGTCACGTGTTCTGTCAACCATCAACCTTCAACTTCTCTTATACCGCAGTCTGAACTTTTGGATTCGGCTCTTATCGACTAAATATTTTCGCCATTACTATGAAGCTATATCATTCGAACTCAAACTCAAGATTTTGTTTGATAAATTAAAAATAAAAGCTTCCTTGATTATTTCTTTAATTAACTACCTGTCGATTGTGTGAATATCTCACAGTTTTCATTAAGCTTGAAAAGATTCTAAATTAATTTGAGTCATTTTCCATTAAAAAGCATTAAAATTTTCAATTCGATAGCAAAACATTTCACTTTAATGCTTACTTACGAGGGATTTTTTTTCGGAAATACTTAAGAATTTTTAGGTTAGGGGTTACTAGTTAAGGGTAGGTTAACAGCCCCCTCCCATTCCTAGAATTTTTCCTGGCAAATACTTACGAATTTTTAGGTCAGGGGTTAAATTGGCACCCCACTTCCATCAATTGAATTTTTCCTGGCAAATACTTACGAATTTTTTCAGCGAGCAGATCCTTCACAAGATGTTCGTCCCTCTCGATGGCGATCACGAAGTATTTGTTGCTCTTCTCCCTTGAGTAGTTAAGAGCGGTCATAAAATTAGTGGAAAAAATTAAAATACTGCAGTCTGCACTTCACTTTATGAAATAATTTTTTTAACTTATCTTTATGAACTAATTTCTAAATCTTCTAAACTAATCTTTTAGTGCGGCGCAGGAATTTTAAACTGTGATACTGAATTATAACAAACAACAAAATTAACAAAACTTCTTAAAACTTTGCAAACTTTCAGTCACTTGTCAGCTTACACTGCTTCCGAAATTAGCTGACACTGGTCAGCTAATGACAATTAGTCATATTAGTAACACTGGTCACTGGTCAGCTTCCGAAATTTCAAAAAATTTTTAAACGTCAGCTTTCAAATGTAAACTCTGGCTAATTATCATGCTACTGGCCTCGTGAAAAAGGGTTACTGTGTGCTTTCTGTGGCCAGTAGCACCTACAAAACATGCCACTAGCGCGGTAAATAGTGCCAGTTCGTTCTTTAATATTTTACTGGCCGCCACTACTGTCCTCGTGTACAAGCACACTTGGCAACTACCGTAGCCCTCGTTTGAGGACATTAGTCATGGACAATAGGAATAGCTAATGCGAACCACTTCATAAATACTTGGAACATTTAGCCAATTTAAAAAAATACAAACTTTATCGTGATCAAATTGAGAGTTATAAAAAGTTTTCATTGTTTTCTCAATAAAATAATAATTTCCAATAAAATGATTTGCTTGAAAAAACCAATCAGTTTCACAAACATTCATGCAAGTCCAGAAATTAATGAGGTAGTGCAGTCGAGTGAGGCAGTGCAGGGTAGTGCACTGCACTGACTGCAGTTCAATGCAGTGCAGTGCAGTATAGAACAGTGCAGTATAGTGCAGTATAGTGCAGTATAGTGCAGTACAGCACAGCACAGTACAGTACAGCACACCACACCACACAGCACAGCACAGCACAGCACTCACCGGTACAGCTGGCGTATAACNGAGACAGATTGTGATGTCACTATTATGTTATTAGTAACACTATCATAACACGCGACTCTGCTCACACAGTTATAATGATGTTAACATGGTGACGACACTATTATATTATTGATAACATTATCATAACACGCGACTCTGCCCGCACAATAATGGTGGTAACACTATTGTATTACTGATAACACTATCGTAATGGTGCTGACACTGTCATCAATAATATTATTGACAAGAAGTACGGTATGGTTGTAAAGAAACTTTTACGTTTGTGATGACCCAACCAATCAGACTTGAGAACTTGAACTAGGTATTACTATCCAATTAGTTTTTACTGTAAGAACACATTTAATGCTAAATATATTTTAAATGACGTACAAATAGGATAGATGTACTACGTACACTCAGCAGCTGTCTTATGTTGCTAATGTTAAATGAATATATTTCTAAGGACGTGCATATAGGATAATAGGATTAATATACGTACACCCAGCAGCTGTCTTCTGTTGTTAATATTAAATGAATATATTTTAAATGACGCACATATAGGATTGATATACTACGTACACTCAGCAGCTGTCTTCTGTTGCTAATGTTAAATGAATATATTTCTAAGGACGTGCATATAGGATAATAGGATTAATATACGTACACCCAGCAGCTGTCTTCTGTTGTTAATATTAAATGAATATATTTTAAATGACGCACATATAGGATTGATATACTACGTACACTCAGCAGCTGTCTTCTGTTGCTAATGTTAAATGAATAGGTATATTTCTAATGACGTGCATATAGGATTAATATACGTACATCCAGCAGCCGTCTTCTGCTGCTAATGTTAAATGAATATATTTTAAATGACGCACATATAGGATTGATATACTTACACTCAGCAGCTGTCTTCTGTTGCTAATGTTAAATTAATATATTATAAATGACGTGCATATAGGATTGATATACGTACACTCAGCAGTTGTCTCCTGTTAGGCTTGGCAAGAGTTTTCTCGAGGCTGAAATCGAAGAGTTGCTCAAACTCGGGCATCTGCAGAACGTACTTGTCTTCTCCTGCAAATAAATTATACTGTTACAGCCGGCAATGTAAAAAATCAAATTTATAGAACAAATTCTGAGGAACAAACCGGTTGAGATGTCGATTTTTTCAAGAAGCAACGATGCACAATCTCGGTTCTAATGTTGAACCAAGCATATTCTTAGCAAGCAAAGATTATTGAGGAAAGAACTTGTCGCTAATTCAAATTGTACTTATCTTTAGTTAAAATAAATTGGTTCAAATTGTATTTATCATTACTATGATGTGAACCGAGGCAATGAAGACCCGTTCTATCCAATTGAAAAAACGCACTCAATGCTTTATAACGCACTGAATGCTTTAAAAATGCACAGAATGCTTCATTTCTAGAATCCAATGATTTTAAGTGCATTTCACATGGCCGGATTAAACAGGGTTCTAACGTGGTTGAATGCAAATAATCCTGTTTTTTTTTTTCAATTCGATAAATAATATTATTTCTTGCACACAATCAACAGAATTGAATAAAATTTCTATGACTGACCTAAAAATTTGTTCTCATCTATTTTCTTAGTCTACGGCAAGCTCAAGAAATTTGAATTTTTTCTCATTTCTTTGTCCACCTGCTGACGCAGGAAGGTGTTGACACTAAGGCGGCATGACACTCACGCAGGAAGAGGTGTTGACACTAAGGCTGCATGACACTCACGCAGGAAGAGGTGTTGACACTAAGGCTGCATGACACTCACGCAGGAAGGTGTTGAAGTGATGTGAGTGCAGTAGCCACGCTAAGGACACGACGTGTGAGCAGCAGGACACGGCGCACATGAAGTTGACGGTGCGGGGGGCCACGCGCCCGTCGCCCCCCATCACGAGGTGGGGTTGCCTCCTGGGCGCTGCCCGTCACGCGGCCTCCGAGCTCTATCACTTTCTGTACGGGTATTAATAATAATAATAGTAATAATAATATCAATAATAATAATAATCATGATATAATATAATAATAACAAAAATATAACTCAGTACTCACTGCAGTGAGCGACAGAGAGCGCATTTTCTCGTCGACGAAAACATGAAGACAGGCGGACATGGACGGACAGACGGACGGACATGGCGAGCACAATAGTGTATTTTTTCCATAAATGAGAAAATGCGCTAATAATAATAATAATAATAAATAATAATAGCAATCGAGTTTTTATGGAACGTACGTGAACGTACTGAAGATATTGCTTTTAAACATCATTCCCAGCTGTGAAATAAATTTTACTAGCCTAATATACACAGGCCATTTACACAGAGAATACAATTTCGGAATACATGCACCATGCACTTTTCAGCCAAAGATCGATTAAAGTAAGTTAATTTTTTCCCATTCAGTGTACATATATGTTCACAATAAATACCGATTTTAAATTTGCTGGGTAGTACTATTCTAGAATTGCACAATCGTTGTGAATTTCAAAAACTTGTAATCATAAAAAAATTATTCATTAAGGGAAATTGTTGTGGGAGCCTCTTCGAACAAGAGAAATATTAATTAAAACAAGAGTGTTTGCTCTAATGACTCACTAGGAAAAGTCCCTACTGGAAAAAATATAAGAATTCTTGCACGAATCTTAGCCAAATGCTAGAATTATGAATTTCATGATTATAAATGATTGATTAATAATCATGAAATAATAAATGCTTGATTTATAAATGATTATTTCAGTTCATGATTCTAAATTATATGAGCCAATTTAATTTTTTATCACAAACAGCATTACCAAAATCTAGTAATTATTCGTAAACAATTTATGAGGAACAAGAAAATTGTGACACGAGAAAATATACGAGAAAATGAGTATGATGAAGCATCACTCCTCTCCATCAACCTCTCACTTCTCAACCTCTCACTCCTCAACCTCTCACTCCTCAACCTCTCACTTCTCAACCTCCCGTCATTCCTCAACCCCCTCTTCCCCAACAAATGTTATATATACCATCTTTATTAGTCGAGAAGATACTAGAACTTACTCTCTCCATTTCAGGTTTATTCCTGACGCTCGAGAAGAAAATAACGGGAGTTTTTTTCTTCGTAACTGCAGGGGTTGGAGTAGCAGCGGCTGCGGTTACAGGTTCGGCGGTTGGGACAGTGTTACCGTCGGTTGAATTACTGTCTGCCGTTGTCAAGTTGTTGTTACTTGAGTCATAAGTAGCAGCTGTTGTAGTATCTGTTCCATCTGATGACGGAATATCATCCTTCTCCGTCTTGATGTCCCCTTGTTGAATTTCGGTTTTGATGTTAGAGGATTCAGGTGGCAAGTTGCCGTCGACGGGTGGAGATGGAGATGGCAGGACAGTTGACAGCTCTGGGATGGGCTGGCTTAGACAAACGTCTATACGAGGACGTTTGTTGTCCAACTCTCCTGATCAAAATCAAGAAAGTTAGAAAATACAGGTTTTTTCTACTTATCTTTTCAATTTTTTTCAGTAAATTAGGATAACACTTGGATAACATTAGGAAAACAATAATGAAGACATTTAACACGTGTGCTGACATATACCTATCTCAATTCTTGTAGTAAATTAGGATAAATTTGCATATTTAAAAACCATAATGAAGAGCATTTAACACATGTGCTGACATATACCTATCTCAAATTACAAATAACTCTAACAAGATTTAACTGAACCATCCGATAACTTTTCTGTACGCTAAGGTAACAAAGAAAATCAATAAAGCGATGAGAAAGCACCTTCAATGACTTCGGTCTTCCTTTTCAAACAATATTTAAGTAAACCATCAGATAACTTTTCTGTAAGCTAAGGTAACAAAGAGAATCAATAAAGTGACACGTGTGCTGACATATACCTATTTCAAATTACAAATAACTCTAACAAGATTCAACTAAACCATCCGATAACATTTCTGTAAGCTAAAGTAACAAAGAAAATCAACGAACTGATGAAAAAGCACCTTCAATGACTTCGGTTTTCCTCTTCCTGAGCGCGTTCTCTCGCACCGCTTTGGCTTTCTCGACGGATTCTTTAGAGACGCTGATAGGGAACTTCCATGCATCTGAAATAAGACGAGAAAACTGTACAAAAACAACAATAATGATCAACACTGATTGAGGAATTCACTCAAGAGGTAATAAAACATTTTAGAAATTAAACTTCAGCAGATAAATTGCAAGTCTGTATTCAGTAAAGATACTAAATTTTTGAATTTCTTATTTGTACGATGCTTGGGTAATTAGAGACTATATTCTTAAACACATAAATGTTCACGGTGAAAATGATTAGGTAGAGATTCTTAATACAAAATGCTTAGGAAGCGATTGAAATTAATGTAATTAATAAGGCGAAGATACCGCATAAAAACGAATATAGAGAATTCCGGTAAAAATGAGCTCCGAGGTTGGAATGGATTTCACATCTCGGGTGTCAGAATCGCCCATTTGAAGGATGGCTGAATTGTTCGATTTAATAGAGTTTCACGCAAACTATGTATGATGGGCTTATTTAAAATTCCGCGGTTCACGTATTCCACTATTCTCACTATCTGCCTCAAAACAGCCGCTATCGACGAATGATGAAATGAATCCGTAAAAGGGGATTGAAAAGTACTATAACTTTGATAGCTGCGAGCTCTGGCAGAGAACATAATGAAGCTGTAAAGGGAATCTGTAAAGAGGATCGAGAATGTAAAAAATGAATCTGTAAAAGGGATCAAGAAGCTCCGAGCTAACGCAGAGAAGTCAATACATACTGAAGAGATGCAATGCCAGACTGGGATCAATTCTGAGGGCTAAAATTTCGCGGCTCACGTCAGGCTGCAGAATGCATGGTAGTATTTTGTAATCATGCATTCCGGGAATTTCTGCATTCAAGGAATTCGTGCATTTCAAGAATGCATTAAAATTTTCATTCCTGCATTCCAGGAATTTTACATACTGAAGAGATGCAGTGCCAGACTGGGATCAATTCTGAGGGTTAAAATTTCGGGGCTCACGTATTCCACCATTCTCACTATCTGCCTCAAAATAGCCGCTATTGACCAACGAAAAAATGAATCTGTTAAAAACGGATTGAAAAGTAACTTTGATAGCTTAGATAGAGCTTAATACATACTGAAGAGGTGCAGTGCCAGACTGGGATCAATTCTGAGGGGATCATCGAGCTGATGTTGATACTTGGTGCCGTGGCATACGAGAGGCGGCACGTTCTGGCCGAGCAGCACCTCGCTCAGCCATATGCCATTCACGATCGGCTTGCGCCACTCACGAGCTTTGGCCACCTTCGCACTGGCGCTACCCTCGAACCTGGAAAATTAGAATAATTAACTGCATGAATTATTACGAACCTTGCACACTGGATTTACAAACATTTAAATTAATCCATTAATAACTTTGTAACCCTCGCACTGCGCTACCTTCAAACCTGGCAAATTAGAATAAATAACAATTAAATTAATGAATTAATACGAACCTTGCACAAAGAATTTACTAACATTTAAATTGATCCATTAATGCTCCGGCCACCTTCGCACTGCCGCTGCCCTCGAACCTGACGCAACTCACAATTAATACTAACTCACCAGACTAATAACTCATAATTAAATTAATGGATTATTTAGAACCTTGCACACTGGATTTACTAACATTTAAATTAATCCATTAATATCTCGGTAACATTTGCACTGGTGCTACCCTCGAACCTGGCACATTAGAATAACTCACAATTAAATTAATAAATTAAATCGAACCTTGCACAAAGAATTTACTATAACTAAAATTAGTCCACTGATACCTTGGCCACCTTCATACTGGCGCCACCATCAAACCTGGCACATTAAAATTACTCAGTAATATTTTTCGATTAATAGACAGTCAGGTTTAGTTATAACCGTCCTCTGGCTTCATGTCCATCTTTGAACATAATTTCCATAGAACTCGGAATGTAAACTAAAAAAAACCCAAAGTGGTTGTAAAAAATAGATTACCGTGTGATTGGTAGTTCACGTATTTGGTTGGCTTAAAGGGAAAAGTTAGAATTTTAGCATGAACTTAAGATTCGGCATCTGGCTTCGTAAATGGCTTGTGACGCAAAATGAACAGATATAAAAATTTTCAATATTCAAATCCATCCTGATAAATTCTTGAATCAAATTATAATAGAAATTATTTTTTGCACGGCTTGTTGTCGTTCCTGTAAAACAATATGAATACAATTTAATAACGAACAGAGATAAGCATGCAGTACAATTTATAATTGAGAATGAAATAAAAACGAGTCCCTGTAAAACAATATGTTATAAATTTTATAACGAACAGAGATAAGCATGCAGTACAATTTCTAATTATGAATTAAATAAAAACGAGTTTTTGAAAGAAATACGATTGATTCTCGATTTCTCGTCATACTTAGACACCATATAAGAAACCTCAGAAAAAAGTCACCACTTAGTTTGTCACTCAATAATGTTTGCACTTCCAATCCTTACAACAGAACATGATAATAATCGACGAAATGATGAAAATGTGGCTATAAGACGTATAAGTATTTTGGACAGGAGGAGCCATCAAATGGCTTGGAACATCAAGATAAACTGTGAAATAAATATATCAATACATACGTATATCTGTATACCTTGTTACTATAACAATATATCAGTCAGACGACTACATATCAATTAAGACTATATCAATATATCAATGATACGACTATACATCAGTCAAGACTACCTATATCAATATAACTGTCAGACGCCTATACATCAATCAAGACTAATAAATATATCAACCAGATGACTACTACTTATATCAATCANAAGCCTTCATGTAATAGCCTTCATGCTGTCTCTTATACACATCTAGATGTGTATAAGAGACAGGAAAAATAGAGGTCGAATGGTATTTAAAGCGGAATAAAATGGGATTTAAAGCGGAAAAAGGGATTTAAAGTGGGAAAAGGGATTTAAAGTGGAAAAAAGGGATTTAAAGTGGAAAAAGGGATTTAAAGCGGAAAAAGGGATTTAAAGCGGAAAAAGGGATTTAAAGCGGAAAAAGGGATTTAAAGCGAAAAAAAGGGATTTAAAGTGGAAAAAGGGATTTAAAGCGGAAAAAGGGATTTAAAGTGGAAAAATGGTATTTAAAGAGGAAAAATTTTATTTGAAGCAGAATTAATTCAATGAATTAATTACGTTAACTTCGTATGCGTATTTGATAAGAAAACGTCTTCCAGAAATGCGGTCGCTTTAATTTAAGTGGGAGTATAAATAAAATAATATTTGATGAGAACTTCTTGAGGAAAAATCGTTGCAAAATAAGAACCCAACGGAAATAGCCTGTTTCCACGATAAGATTTGCTCATAAATAAATAAGAACTCAGTGGAAATAGCCTGTTTCTACAATAAGATATATTCATAAATGTAATTTATAGAATAAAAAGAATACCTCCCCTCCGTGCTGCTGAATAACTCTCCTCCAGGTGTCGATGACGTGAGGCAGGAGCTCGGCGTGATAGTCGGCGATGTAGAACACGCATCCTACCAGACACAGCTCCCGAGGCACTGATATAAACAATTAATAATTAACGTCTAATTAATAGACAAGTGATTTATTATATTGATGAGGCCAGCTAATGAGAGGCCAGCCGTGATGTCTAACAAACAACAATGTATAATTAGGATTAACATTAATTAACATTACCATTAAATAATTCATTAAGAATGTCTAATTAATAGATAAGTGATTTATTATATTGATGAGGCCAGCTTATGAGCTGTAGCGATTTTTATAAAATAAATCAAAACGAGATTTATATATACCTATATTAATATAATAAATAGCTAGCAAGGCACTAGCATGCACAATATCTAATAAATAGCTTGCGGAAATATTAACAGTGATATAGAATATTTGTTTATTTGATATTTGTTATCCGATCCGACCTCAGGAGTGAACTGCACAATGTCTAATAAATGCTTGCTGAAATATTAACAGTCAGATAAATATTTATTTGATGTTTGCGAGCGGACTCAGAAGTGAACTGTATACATTGCTTGTGGCGTACTGCATTCAAATGATTTAAATTAACCACACTAAGCGGACTGACATGTTGAATGAAATTGTGGGAATTGTATCTCTGAACCTCTGCCTACATAAATACTTTTTCAAACATTCACAATTGTGTTTCATTTCATAGTTCTAACCACTCAAAGTTGTAACGCTAAATATTGATGACCCTGTAATGACTAAGACCAAAGACTTTGCGAAAAAATCTAGCTAACGATTAATACAAGAAGTATAAACGAGTTACACAGAACTCGTGCAAATATCATTGTACAATATATTAAGCTTCGACGCATTGCTGTGGTATGTGTGTGATGCATTGCTGTGGCATGTGTGTGATGCATTGCTGTGGCGTGTGTGTGATGCATTGCTGTGGCATGTGTGTGATGCATTGCTGTGTTTGGCCAAAAAATTTTTTGTCATTAGACAGAGCTTATTTCCCAAACAGGGTTAACTATTTTGTGACCCTTCTTTACATAAGTTTTCTTTAAAAATCAGCCAGAAATTCATTATTTGCAGAAGAGGGTTGCCACTAACACTGAAGTGACATGCAATGATTGCTCTAACATATTCTTCTATCGAATTAAATTCAGTGCAATTAGAATGCATGATATGGGCTGGTCCTTTCTTACCCCATGAAGGCTGCGATCCTGTCTTACCCCATTTGACTATATGGTATTTCGTTCATAATTACATCACGATTATTCGATTTGCCGCTAAGCCATAAGTGAGAAAATCTTGAACAGATGCCAGAGCCAATGAAATTTGTATGAAAGAATTCATTGACTTGACGTATTTAAGAAGTTATTATTATTAAATAGTGTATGGTGTTAAAATAGTTGCGTGATTTCTTAGTTCAAGTAAAGATAATGCAGCGTAGGCTTCAGCTTCCTTGCGTAGACATAGAAATTCATACTACGTTATACAGGGTGTTTCAGAATTAAGTAACTCTTTTAATTTGTTAATAAATAAAAAACTAAGAACGTTATGAAGTTGAAACTTGTTTTATTTAAAAGATTTCACGGCAAGATAAAATTTCACTGCAAGATAAAATTTCACGGCAAGATAAAATTTCACTGCAAGATAAAATTTCACGGCAAGATAAAATTTCACGGCAATACCTATAAAACTTCACGGCAAGATAAAATTTTACAGCAAGATAAAATTTCACGGCAAGATAAAATTTCACGGCAAGATAAAATTTCACGGCAATACCTATAAAACTTCACGGCAAGATAAAATTTCACGGCAAGATAAAATTTCACGGCACTGAACAATTCAAGAGTTAGAATAATAAGTTAGCATATAAACATCACTCACACATGATGTTGGTGTCATGACCGAAGAGGTGGGGGCGAGGGTAGTGTTGGGACCCCCCAGCCACGATGTTGGGGGAGACCGGCACCCCGGCCCCGCTGTGAGGGGAATGTGGGCCCGCGGGTCGCGGGTAGCCCACGGGGCTGACATGATGGGCTACCGCCCCCGCAGGTCTAACGATCGTAGAGCCTGCAGGAGCACCGGGGGCGCCACCAGGGATGTTGGTGAGAGTGCGGCGGTAGATCACAACCTGTTCGCCTCCTGTAGGAGATATCGTACTTCACATTCATGTAAAAACCTTCATGTAAAAGCCTAAATCGTATTTCACCTTCATGTTATATCCTTCATATGTAAAAGCCTTCATGTAAATGCCTTCATTTAGAAGCCTTCATGTAAATGCCTTCATTTAGAAGCCTTCATGTAATAGCCTTCATGTAAAAGCCTTCATGTAATAGCCTTCGTGTAAAAGCCTTCATGTAAAAGAAGTTAAGTTTTGCTTAAGCAACGTGACACAAAGTCTGGAACATGCAAGGTATTTGAGAACATAAGTATTGAGACATCATGTTAATTAAGTTATAAAATTACGTAAATAGGAGCAAAAACCACTACTTTATCGTATAAAATATTGACATAAAATTTTTTACCAAATTTACTCGTAATTGAGTGCAGAAACAAAAATATCAGTTGTATGTTACACCACGGGACAAAATTATAAGTTTGTCTTCAAGAAAATGTATGTTAAACGCCGGCAATTTTCATAAATAATGAATGACAAGGTATGTAATACGGGGTATATAGTTGCAAAACGAAACTCAAAGCAGTACTACGTTTCTACCTTAATATTTCAAATTATTTCACACAGTTAAGCAATGCTGTTAATTTGGTACAAAAGTAAAGAAATCTTTAAACGAGCCCTGAGATTACAAGATTACAGTGTAGGTATTACAAGAAGTTAGTTAATGGTTGGTTAATGTGATTTAGCTTAAAATGTTACATGAAAAACGATCTAACATAACCATAAAAAAGTAATCTATTAAATAACCACATCTTCCCTCGAGTTATAGCAAGCGGTTAATTCGAGAAAATTAAGCCTTTAAAACAAATGCAAAAAGAAACATAATGCCCACACCGAAAACGTGTAAACAAAGCAAAAGCCAACAAGACGCAACTATTCTACTAATTAATAATAAAAGTGTTAATAATCACTTAGATAATTCATAATCACTATCAGTAATCATGAGTTATGTTAAGCATTATTGTTCCTTTACAATGTTAGAAAAAAAGGTGAAAAAACGATCCCACTGGCGTTCTAGTGGCCGGTCGCCCCGTGAAAATAAACTGTTTCGCCGTTTTATCAGAAGTTTTACGGATTTCTAGAGTTAAATTAGAATAAAAACGGCTACACGGTGTTTCTTTTCACGTGACGACCGGCCACTGCAACGCCAGTAATACCGTTAACGGTAATTTTTCTAACAGTGTAGGACCCGAAAGTTGAGGAAGTTGAAGAAACCCTTATAACCACCTTGAGAGCAGTCGCCAGTTGTTAATAATCACTTAGATAATTCATAATCACTATCAATAATCATGAGTTATGTAGAGCATTGTCGCTTTAGGACCCGAAAGTTGAAAAAGTTGAAGAAACCCTTATAACCACCTTGAGAGCAGTCGCCAGAAACTTTGTGAAGAATATGAGAAGACAAGTCAAGTTGCTGCGAGCCTCCACCACCAAGTCTGTTGCTCAGTAGGTTTGCTAAAGCAGTCTTGGTCTTCTGGTTCACCAAGTTTGGATGAATGCCTGCAAATCGCACTACAGTCAATTCTACGGTCATATCGAACAATGTTTCTATTTTAATTAATTCTAGCAAGCTGATCGTGCATGTTGCTCGATGTTCTAGCATTAATAATTTCAAATAATTATACCTAGACATCAAAGGAGCAATAATTTCGCACGAGAGAAAACAAATTATTGACGATCAGTTGTAACCTATTGCACTTTTCGCTTTATATGGCGAAAGATTATGATCAATATATAGAGATAATTTAACTAAAAAGAGGTTTGGAAAATGGGTGGCGCAAAAATGATTTCAACGTGACCAGACAACGTCTGTTGATGACAAGACAACGTCTGTTGATGACAAGACAACGTCTGTTGATAACAAGACAACGTCTGTATAGCTAACAAGACGTTTATTAATGACAGCAGTGATGTAAGTTGTTCGCGTGTCTCAGTGTAAATTCATTATGAAAGTTCAGTGCAGATGGAGAGATTGGCATGTAAGGTAATTATAGCACCACAGAGCATCCCAGACAACACCCCAAATGAAGCTCCATTTACAAGTGAGCATTATAAATAATTACATCAAGTACAGGTTACATTCTTCGCGTATTATCTGTACTTAATTAAAAATCATCGTCTTACACTCATTCACAGGCTTAGGTTCCGCTCAGAACCACGATCCCGAAGAGAGTGCGTAAAGGTTACATTAAGTACAGATAATACGCGAAGAATGTATGGAGGAGGAAGTTGAATATATACACGCGAAGACTCTTTATGTCTGAGAATAAGACATTTGAGTTATTAAAGAAACGCTCATGGATGAAGATCGAAGAACAGGAAAATTTACAAATAAAAAACCCTATTTGTGCGCGATTAAATTGCGCGATCTACAAGCCCAAAACTTGTTTAGAACGACTTATCACAATCGCGAAAGATTGTTATAAACGCAAGACCGTCAAGAAAAGGAAGATTGCACTGATGAATCTGTAAATCTTGGCTGCTCAGATCATGTCTCGCAATGCAATCCAAATTTGGTAATAACAATCTAAAGTGAAAGTAAAACCGACAACGAGCGAGTAAGTCTTCTACATGCGTAACGGTGCGAGTAAATTTAGTCTAGCGCTGCAGCGTAGGTGGCAGTTGGATTGCTTAGACTTCGTGTATTGAATGTGTGGTGGAAGCCTGCAAATTCACACAATGACCACAAGATAAAGGAGGGCTATCCCAGACTCGTATCGGTTGAGAGGGCCAATAACTTAGTACATGTCTGTCATGAATTCCCCGGTGTGCAGTGTACAGACAGTACAATAGAAAAATAAGGGGTGGGAGGGATCACCTCAAAGCGTTACCGGAGTTCTTATTAAGCAAGGTATACCGAAGACGAATCATGAGACCACACTGATTGAAAAAGTTCCCCGGCTCGGCAGAAATACACAATTGTGGATCCCTCCAAACAATGTTCAATTGAGGGATGGCGACAAATGCAAGAGAAAGATGATAAGTAGACCACGAAAATCTAAGTGATCGAAGATGAGCCTAAGCCAGATATTCAGTTTTGCAGAATAGAGAAACGATCAGCACTCTGAGAGCTTAAGCCAAAGTTATCTCTGTCACGAACGAAATCTCCGCTGCATATGAAATCTTTGTACAAAACGGCAAATGAAACCCCCCACAAATAAGGCAAATCTATATACAATTCAAATATTATCTCTCTATATAAAAAAAGAAAAAAATATTTACACCTAGAAGAGTATGCAAAATGGAAGGGCGGAAAGAAAAGATTCCGGAGAACAACGAGCCAACGGACGGCCTGGTGCGAGATGCCGGGACTTAATACTAAAAAACTAAAAAAAAAACTTGCCGGGACTCTGAAAACTCGAAAACTTGCCGGGACTCTGAAAACTCAAAAACTTGCCGGGACTCTGAAAACTCAAAAACTTGCCGGGACTCTGAAAACTCAAAAACTTGCCGGGACTCTGAAAACTCAAAAACTTGCGGCGACTCTCAAAAGTCTCGAATGAACAAAAGGGTTCCGGCCAGCCTATTTTTTTTCTAGCAGCGAGAGAATGGAGGAAGAAAGAGAAACGGGAGGATCTAGGAAATAATTTAAAGTGCCTCGGAACGTTTATGACCGCTTTCTCAAGACCTAATATACGTAGTGAGCTAAGTAGTAGGCATGCCTTGACTCGCTCAAGGAGTCAAGTACTTTTACTTTTTTTAACGTCACTTTTCGACAATCATTCACATTTGTGTGCTTATATGATATTTCACAGTAAACATTTCTTCGTATTGTCAGATTTTTCCACAGAAAGAAATTTCAGTAGGTATTTTGTCGAGCATAAGAAAGAAAATTGCGCATTTTACTGTGCTATTCATGAAATTACTTCAATTATATACATTCCTGACGCTAAACCTCTGAAGGGTTTAATTCTCAGCACTGGACTTGAAAATCAATGGATCCAAGTCAAGATTTAAAATCAGGATTTAATTCGGAAATTCAACACAGCAATCCAGTTATTCTTAAAATATCTAACAAGGATGGAACTGAAATTCGAGAGATTTTGAGACTATGTTTGAGGAACTCTTAAGGACGAGAGTATTTAGAATGAGAATATAATCAATTCTCGGCCGAGAGAACATTAATTAATGGAACAGGGCGCTGGAACTCAAGTGCAAGAGTGGCAAGGCTCAGAAACGTGCCTGAGTGGTGATGGTCAAAATCAGGAACATGTATGTCGACACAGGAAATCACAAGAACATGTCGACATCATGAACATATCAACAAATGTTTCATATCAACAAATGTGTCATATCAACAATGTTTCATGTCAACAAATGTTTCATGTCAACAAATGTATCGTATAAACAATATTTCATGTGAACAAATGTTTCACAGAATCAAGTAAACAAATGTTTCCACAAATTGTTTCGGCTAGACAGGTTTACGGTCGAACCAGACAACCTCATATACATGTATAAGATCGGGTTACCAAATTTGAGTAATAGTGAATACACAGTTTCGCTGCGCTAGGAGCTCAAGGTCAGTTATCATTGGTAAACCCGAACATTCGCTGCTTTTCGTATCAGTTTTACTTTCTTCTGAGATCATCGACTCCAGACCTCGTCTTTTAGTTTCGTAAAATTTCAGAAATTTACAAATACGAACGACATCAGCAAACGCGGCTATTGTCCCCAGGCGCTGGAGAAGTCCATCTGTCATGTCTTTTGTTACAAGTCTGTTTCGAACAAGAGACATGCCATGAAATATCTGGAGCCAAGATATCACTCGTATACCCAACGCCAATGCCATAATCATGGAACTTACATTTTCTCTCATAATTAGCATAAATCAAACGCTACAGCAATGATCGACCCAGAGCAAACATTTTAATATTAAAAGTTTCCATAAACAGACCTTTCTTGGACCAAGTATCACATAAGAATAGAGACGATGTACCTTATAGTATCCCAAAGGAATAGAGACAATTATGTATCCTAGTATCCCAAATTAATACAGACGATGTATCCTAGTACGTATCCCAAAAGATCAGAAACGATGCCCATGTAAAACCCCCCACACCAACAATCATGCCAGAACAAAAAATGCATCAGTAGGACTCACCCTGCACTGCTAAGGACCCTGTGGGGGAGTGAGCCACAAGCGACGAGTCCTGATGATGAGGATGGGGCGACGCCCCTGGGGACACTAGGAGTTGGGTCGCCTGTCCAGCACTAGTGAAGAGGGGATTAATGGGGCGCACTGCCCCAAACTGCTGCTGTGTCCCCTGCTGCTGGGGCTGCTGGGACTGCTGCACTGGCAGTCCAGTGGCAGTCACCACCTGGGGGCGGCCATAGTGGCAAAGCAGAGAGTTTTTAGCGCATTTTCTCATTTATGAAAAAATGCACTATTGCGCTCGCCATGTTTGTCTGTCTGTCTGTCCGTCTGTCCGTGACCTCAAATTTTCGTCGACGAGAAAATGCGCTCTTTGTCACTCACTGCAGTGAGTACTGAGTCATATTTTTTAGTTTCTCCCAGTCTCCCCCAACTTCAATTTTGGGTACCGTATACTATAAGTAGACCAGTGAAGTATTATGGATACCAGCATTATTATACATAAGAAATGTATTCACATATTGAGTAAATGAGGAAATTAAAAATGAACTGATTCTAAAATATCTCTGGTTTGCCACTATACCTGGGGCTGTCCAGACTGCCACCCCAGCGGGGATACGGACTGCTGCAGGACAGTCTTCTGCTGCACTAACTGCGGTACTTGCTGCTGGCCCTGCAGCACCCCCGCCTGCAGGAAATATTTGATATTTTGATCAGAATGAAATATCACTAGTGCATGGTAATGGCAGCGAAATTAAAGCTGGAAGAAGTACTCGCATAAAATAACAGAAAAATAATAATCGAGACTAATGATCAGCATGAAATATCAATAGTAATAATAGCAGCAAAATTAAAGCTGAACAAAGTACTCACATTAAATACGAAAAATAGTAATCAAGCCTAATGGTCAGCATGAAATATCACTAGTAGTAATGACAGCAAAATTAAGTCAAGAAAAAAGTGTTCACATTGAACACGAAAAAATAATAATAGAGCCTAAAGTCTCTCAATTTATTTAGGCGACAATTCAATATGGTTTTCTAAATGAATTTTTGAAAACGCATCTTCGTAAGAATTATACTTAGAAACTATTGAACAGCTTTACATGGTTCTATATATAAAAATGATAGCGAAGTCTTACCAATAAGCCAACATAAAGTTTGTACTACTTTTGAAACCTTTTCAAATGAATACGACCAAACTATGACTGCTAGACCTCTACCAAGTAGTGATGGAGCCACACGAGAGTACGTCTTGTAGTAAATAAATAAGGACAAAATAAATAGGCACAATATAGATAGGGACAAAACAGATAGGTAAAAATCCATAACAACGAAAACTAGGACTGCTAGCAATAAACTGGATTTGTCATAAACCAATGCTGGAAGATATACTGGGTAACAAGTTTTGCTATTAGATATATTTCTCAGTTATTACTGAATTTTAATACTATGGTCTACAAGGCATTTAATGACCATGACCAGAGGACCTGCGAAGAAATTTAGCTAACCTAACAATAGAAGAAGTACAAACGAATTACACAGAACTCGTGCAAATATCATTGTAAAGTATATTCAGTTTCGACACATTGCTGTGGCATGTGTGTGATGCATTGCTGTGACATTGTGACATGTGTGATGTATTGTTTTGTTTGACATGTGTGTGATACATTGACATGTGTGTGATGCACTAGTCTCATCACCTGTTGCTGCTGCGCAAGTTGCTGCTGCTGCAGAGCTGCCTGTCGCTGCATGAGGTTGTGGTGACGCCGCATGTGGAAATAAGTCACCACCTGACGCTCTTTGGGCGGCAGCGTCCCCAGATACTCGGACCGACCAGCGTTGTCGCGCCCCTGCATCTCCCGCAGGTGCACTGGCAGCATTGTTAGCACCTGGCAGTGATGTACAGGATCATTGTGAAGATTATTTGCTAATATGTTGATTAACTGAACAATATTACTAAAGATGAACTGGCAGCATCGTTAACATCTGGGAATGATGTACGGGATGAGTGTGAACATTATTTGCTAATAAGTTGATTAACTGAACAATATTACTAAAGATGAACTGGCAGCATCGACGACACCTCGGATTTGAAAGTAAAATTTTATTTGCAACAGACTTGCAGCGAACAACATTTATATTAAATATATGCCTTTAGAATTTGCTAACATCCTGTAAAATTCGTATGTAGCCTTAAGATATTTCTACTAGTATTTTTTGACGAGCAGTCTACCATTTCAAGCGGTCAGTGCACTCCATTGTGAAGGATTTCATGTCACATATAAAGCAAATATAATAATTATTTAGTGCCATTATTTCGTTCAAGAGGGAAGGTATTATACTTGAAATTAAATAAAATTGATTTTTAGCGCCCTGAAGAAGTCCTGACCTAGATAAAGAAATACCCGAATTGCATGACGGCTGAAAAGCATGAGAGAGCAAAATATTAAAATCTTTAACATTTTGCTCATTAAATTAAATATCATTAAGCTAACAATTGGACTGCGTAGAGATAGCCTGAGGCCGAGAGGGCTCAGCGACTTAAGTACACACGCTTATATTGATTAAAATTTAATCACTTAATTGTTATTGAAAATTACGCTTGGGTGCTTGACAAGTCTAGAATTGAAGACCTATACTTTTGCCCAACAAAGGCAATTTTTTTTTTTGTTAGGTCTATAATTTTAGACTTGGGTAGGTCTGGCCTGCTGAGGGAACACAAGTGAGAGAACACAAGTGAGGGAACACAAGTGAGGGAACACAAGTGAGGGAACACAAGTGAGGGAACACAAGTGAGGGAACACAAGTGAGGGAACACAAGTGAGGGAACACAAGTGAGGGAACACAAGTGAGGGAACACAAGTGAGGGAACACAAGTGAGGGAACACAAGTGAGGGAACACAAGTGAGGGAACACAAGTGAGGGAACACAAGTGAGGGAACACAAGTGAGGGAACACAAGTGAGGGAACACAAGTGAGGGAACACAAGTGAGGGAACACAAGAGAGGGAACACAAGAGAGGGAACACAAGAGAGGGAACACAAGTGAGGGAACACAAGTGAGGGAACGCAAGAGAGGGAACACAAGAGAGGGAACACATGTGAGGGAAGACAAGTGAGGGAACACAAGTGTCACCTGATGGCACTAGGCAGGGCTAAGTTGCGGGAAAATTTTTTTTATTAAAAAAATGCGAAAATATATTTTTGTAATATATGAAAATAAAAAAAGTGTTCCCTCGCAAGTTTAACCTGATGGCACTCGGCAGGACTGAGCTGAGGGAACTGTTGCCTGATGAGGGCAACTTGGTTCTGCATGATCTGCATGGAGGGCGCTGCTACCACACCACCACCAGGGCCCACAGCGCGCACCATGGTGTGACCTGACGCTACCAAGCCTGCTTGTTGTGGTAGCAGCAACTGCTGGGTTGGACTTGGTTGAGCTGGCTGTGGTTGACCAGGTTGTAGAACTTGCTGTGGTTGTTGAGACTGCCACTGAGAAACTACCACTCTTCCTGATACGTAATGTGCCCCCCCTGGCGTGCTAGGTGGCCGCACTAGTTGTGGCACTAGTGTTTGTACCACATGTTGTTGTTGTTGTTGTTGTTGTTGTTGTTGTTGTTGGTGTTGTTGTTGTTCAGGGGGGACTTGCTGAACGATCTCTCCCGGCTGCTGTTGTTGCTGCTGCTGCCCGGTCCAAACAACGTTAGTGGCAGCAGTAGCATCTGATGCTGCTGCTGCTGCTGCATGCTGCTGCTGCTGTGGACCAAGCTGCTGCTGCTGCTGAGGCGTTGATGACCTCGTGCTTGTCTGCCAAGCAGCACCACCAGAAACGAACTGCAAATTTATGAATCATTTTAGTTAAAATATATAATTAACAGAGGACTATGAGATGAACAAGATGCAAAAGTCTGAGTCAAAGAAACACGAATCAGTGTTACAATAAAATTATTTGCCATATTTTAAATTTACTGTTCTAATCACAACTCAAATTTATGAACGAGAAGTCCATAGCTCGCTCACAAGACTCCTTAATAGAAACAATTAATCCATCAACCTATATGGCTGATGGTTTAAATAATTACATACCGTACTCAATTACCTTTATGTTATTTACCATAAATTTACAAAAAATATAACTCAGTACTCAGTGCAGTGAGTGACAGAGAGCGCATTTTCTCGTCGATGAAAACGTGACGTCACGGACGGACAGACANATTAATAGAACCGAAACATAATTAAATTGAACGACAAAAAAATACTTAATTTCAACGGCAACACAATAATTAAATTGTCACGCCCTGCGGCAGACGTACTACTGCTCCGGGGATGGCCACCTGCAAATTACGGAACGACTTCAGGTCATAAATTGACCAAGAACGTATTATTATGGATTGACTTCAGATTGTGAATTGACCAAGAACGGATTATTATGGATTGACTTCAGATTGTGAATTGACCAAGAACGGATTATTACGGATTGACTTCAGATTGTAAATTGACCAAAAAGGGGGACAAAATAATTAGATTGAACACCGAAACAATACGTAGGTACTTAATTCCAAAAGCAACACAATAATTAAATTGAAAGGCGACACAATAATTAGATTAAACAGCAAATCAATACGTAGTTAATTTCAACGGCAACAACATAATTAAATTAAAAGGTGACACAATAATTAAATCAAACTGCAACATAATTATTAAATTGAATGGCAAAACAATACTTAATTTCAACGGCAACACAATAATTAAATTGTCACGCCCTGCGGCAGACGCACTACTGCTCCGGGGATGGCCACCTGAAAATTACGGATTAACTTCAGATTGTAAATTGACCAACAGTGGCGACACAACGATTAGATTCAACAGTGACAATAAATTAATAGAACCGAAACATAATTAAATTGAACGACAAAAAAATACTTAATTTCAACGGCAACACAATAATTAAATTGTCACGCCCTGCGGCAGACGCACTACTGCTCCGGGGATGGCCACCTGAAAATTACGGACTAGCTTCAGATTGTAAATTGACCAACAGTGGCGACACAACGATTAGATTCAACAGTGACAACAAATTAATCGAACCGAAACATAATTAAATTGAACGGTTTGTTTGTACCACAATGAATGAGTACAAGAATACACTCAGTCCTGTATGAACCTGGTGAGTACACAGGGTTGTTTGTACCACAATGAATGAGTACCCCAATGTACTCAGTGGTGCATGAACATGCTGAGTACACAGGAATGTTTGTGCCACAATGAATGAGTACAACAATGTGCGCAGTGGTGTATGAACATTCTAAGTACACAGGGCTGTGTTCTTACTGTATGGACTTGATGTTGTGTGATCACTTGCTGCTGCTGCTGCTGGTGAGGCATCATACTAGACGAGCGCTGACCAGCGTCTGCAAATAAATGCATTTAACATAATAAATTACAAGCGAAATTAACACTTGATAAATTTTATGGAAAATTTATAGAAGGAAGATACCTTTAAATGAAAATTAAAGAAAGAAAAAAAACGAAAAAACGTTAAAAAAAATCATTTTATAAAGCAAAACTGTAGGTATATAAATCAATCACTATAACATAACAGTGCATTTCCGGTAAGAAATAAATGTTGGTTTTCATAAACCACTCGCTGTTCATCAAGTAACAAATAATGTGCATTGAATTATAAGTCGCCGAGCATCAAGTAACACAATGTGCATTAAATCATAACTTACTATGCATAAGTTGCCCTGGTTGCTGCAGCTGCTGCTCGTGCTGCTGATGAAGTATCACCTGTTGCTGCAGACCACCAGCCATATTGGTTGGTGCAGAAACACCTGCACCACCAACAACAGATTGAACTCCAACCATACCATCACTGATGGTAGAGGTCCCTACCATCGACCGTGGTACCTCTTGATCAGCTACCGTCGTACCCGCGGCTACGGCCGCTGCGGTTGCCGCGTCTCCAGCCTCCGCCGCTAAAGACGAGGCAATAGCAGCTATGGTGGTTGATGCTGAGGACGTTAGCATCGAGCCAGTAACTGAAGAACCCATGGATGTCATGGAACTCATCGGGACCAACGAGCTCATGTCAGAAGTGTTGATGGAAGCCAGGGAATCAATGCCAGAACCTACAGAAGAACCAATAACCGAGGTGACATCAGCGACTGAAACAGAGGCCAACATCGGAGGACCAGCAACAGCAGGAGTTGGTCCAACCACAGACAAATCGTATGAAGAAGTAGTGGCACCAACAGCAGAAGATGTGGAGTATGGTTGTTGAATATTACTTGTTGAAGGATCAGTAGATACATTAGAAGTAACAGCAGAGTTGTTTGCAGACGTTATCGGATGCAATGACTGTTGATGGTTTATAGATTGCTGATGCAGAAGTTGCTGATGGTGAATAGACTGTGTAGGCTGAAGGAACTGAGTTTGGCTGACCTGAAGCTGAATGTTACTTTGGTGTTGGAAGTTTTGTTCATGGTTCAGTGGCATGCTGGTTACATGCTGATTAGATCTAATAAGTTGGTCGTTTTGTTGTGGAAAATGTTGAATGTTCAGCAGTTGTTGAGAATCATGTTGAATATTTTGATGCAACTGCTGAATACCATGCGGCGGATGCTGGGTGCCTTGAAGCTGCTGTTGAATGTCCTGCTTCGGAATACCTTGAAGCTGTTGAACACCTTCCTGATTTTCAATAATTTGTTGCTGCTCGATGCTTTTCAATTGGTTGTTGCCTTCCTGATGCTGTGGGATCTGTTTTTGCTGTATGCCTTGCTGTTGTTCAACGCTTTGCTGGTGAAGCTGAATACCTTCCTGCTGATGCTGAATACTTTGCTGAAGTTGCTGGCTTTCATCTTTTTGCTGCTGAGTGCCTTGCTGATGCTGCTGAAATCCCTGGTGAATTTGCTGGCTTTCCTCTTTTTGTTGCTGAATGTTAAGCTGATGTTGCGGGAATCCTTGCTGAAGTTGCTGACTATCCCGCAGTTGCTGATGACGAGCTTGAATTTCCTGATTTAACTGTAACGAACTTTGTTCATTCAGCACTCCAGGTTGTTGCTGAAGGTTGCTGCTCGCACCAGTATATTGCTGTTGTTGTGGGGTAACATCACTGCTATGTTGCAGGTGTGTGCCACGTTGCTGGTGTTGCACGCCAGTTGCATGTAAAACTTCTTGCCGTACTTGTTGATGTTCCTGTTGATGATCAGAGGCCTGTTGTTGTTTCTGCATCAAGGAAACTCCTTGCTGTAATTCCATACTTTGTTGCTGCTGAACATCAGGTTGAGTTTGAACACCCAATTGTCGTTGCGGTGTTTGCAGCAACTGCTGCTGCTGAGATGTCGAGACGTGTTGCTGTACAAGTTGCACTTGTTGCACCGGAGTTGTCATTCGAACTTGTTTTTGTTGCATGTACAGCTGTGAAGGTTGTTGCAACTGTAGCTGCAACGGCGATGGGCGCTGTCCGGCATGCTTTTGCACCAGAAACTGTTTCTGTTGTTCTTGTTGTTGTTTCTGTAAATGTAAACGTTGTTGTTCCTGATTCTTGAGTAGCTGAGATGACGGAGTAACTGTCACGTTCGGCCCAGGTAAACGCAATTGCTGATTATTTGCTCGATGGGCAGCAGAACTTAGCGAAATTGTGGTGGATGAGGGAAGAACTTTGCTGGTAAACTGATCAACACTTGGTACTCTTGTGGACACTTGATTTGCAACAACAGGATTGGCAACCGTAGGAACTGAGGTAACACATTCAGAGGTTGAATTGCTAAGAGAAGCAGATGAACCTGTTTGTGGACGTTCTGAAGTCAACGTTGTGATATTGCCCGGGACACTTAGAGGAACTGATGACACTGAGGAGTTTGTTTCCTTGCTCCCTGAGAATACAGTGTCTAATGTTGATGACGTGCAAGATGGTGGCTGAGAAGTCTCACTCTGAGACGTGGTCAAATCTCTAGACTCTTCTTTATTTATGATGTTATCCAAATTTAGGTTTTGTTCACTCAAACTTTTTGCTTCATCATCAAAGCGTTTTTCATCGATTGTCATGCCAGTTCGAGTCTCCACATTCTCCGGTGATGATGAATCAGCAGTTGTGGGTAGATCAAGTAGCAATTTAGAACTTGTGTCATTCAAATCCATATTTTGAATATCCTCATTCATCTCATCGTCATCACTGAACTCAAGCCTGTCAAAGAGACGTTTCCTTTCTACAAGATCTTGCTTTTTCTTTTCCAACTCTGGATTAGTTTCGGCATTTTCAGACTGACTTGTGTCAGGAAATATATCTATTGAGGCAGCTGCTGCCATCATTTCAGCAGCACCAGGAATTTCAATAGAAGAAGCCAGATGCATTGGGCCACTGAAAGTATTGAAACTCAAGCTCGGAGATCCAATGTGATGAGCTTTTGGAGTGTTAGCAAACCTTCGAGCTGACTTATTTGTTACTGGTGATGGAGGAGTCAAGAGTTGGAGGCGTGGATGATATTCAGCTTCATTAAGTCGCTCGTTTTTCAGCACACAGTCGGTGAGCCAGTCCGGTGTCACAATGCTGATGTGTGGAGTTTTCTGTGCTTTCTCAGCTTTGGCCTGAAAAGTGAAAACAAAAGTTTTTTGACATGAAAAGTTCACAATGGTCATCTCAATGGAGTTTTAATCCTAAAAGCGCAATTGATAAGAAATATATATAAATGAACATTGCCAGGCAAAAAAAAACTGTCATCTAGAGAATCTTATCTCGTCTCAGACTTTAACTCGCCTTGCCAAGCATCAAAGCAATCAATAATTAAGATAGGTACTGCATGAATTGCAAATCCAACTAAATAATTTGTTGAACACAAAATATGTGAAAACCAGAAATTCATGAAGGCTGGATTGGTTTCCAATACAAAGACCGTATCAGCTAACTTTGATGAATAAAATAAAAAAACAGCACAGACATACATACAACGGCCAATGGATCACATAGAAGGTGAATAAAATAATACCATATTGGTGAATGTAACAATACCATAAGGTGAATGTAACAATATCATAAGGTAATACCATAATACCATTGGAAATCCTCTGTGACAATGTAACTTTAGTTTTTGTTTCACAGACAATTGTCAATAATTTTTTAAATCAATTAGTAGATGAAAAATGAAGAAGCCCTAGAGTGATGTGATGATTTATGACTAATGTACAACTGTAACTCTGAAGTTTCTTCCTCAATATTTGAAGAAAAAACAGGGTTTTTGTAAATATGGTAAGATTCTGCATCAGCTGCATCCACTGATTTCTTCCCATGTTTATTGAATTTATGTAAATAGGGGAATAGTTGTTAGTGGGGGTATGAGTGAATTTTGTAAAACAAATTGTCTGTGGTTAGTGGTTAAACACCGATGCTTTCGATGATAATTTGTAAAAAACATATTAAGTAACAAAACAATTAAGAAAAAATACCTCAAAATTATAGTATTTTGGGAAGCAGCTGAAAATACTGAGTGTAGGTAATGATATAAACTCACCGAATTGGTGCTGTTAGCTATTAGAGGGGTTGATATCAAGAAAAAATACCCCAAAGTTATAGTATTTTGGGAAGCCGCTGAAAATAATACGAGTGTAGGTAATGATATAAACTCACTGAATTGGTGCTGGTAGCTATTAGGTGTGTTGAGCTTGGCTGCAGTCGTTTACTGAAGGAACCGCCATGAGATGCCAGTAACACCCAGGCCACGGTGACATCAGCAAGGCTGAGCTGCGATGTAGAGGCCCGTACTCCTGTCAGCACCTGGTGGTCTACGTTAAAGCAGTCAACACTGCAATATAGTCAAGGAAAAAATCGTTCAAATTGTTTTGTGAAGTGATGGCTAAAACATGGTCAAATGTGTGGTGTGCCTGAGGGTGTTTGTTGTGATGGGACTGTGACATGAATGTAAAAACTATAACATGGTTGAGTGAAAAGTGTCATTTTGTGAAGAATACCTACATTGTTGCAATTACAACTCTAACACATACTCGGATTTAAATGTGACGGAATGCATTTATGCACTTCACAAAAAGGGGGTTTGAAAGTACCTACCCCTAGTGAAAAAAATGCTACTTTCTTACCATACACATTTCTTCACATGAGGTTTTCCACAAAAAAATAATTTAGAAAAACTTACAAAAAATCCTTGAGGAAAAATTCTTTCTCCAAACAAAAAAATGTCAAAAACCAAAACTCTGTTGTGCTTGTACATAGATTATTTTGTTTAGAATTGAAACATTCTCAAATCCATTGCATTTGTGAAAATCAACACCTATTTATGATATAGAACACAATGGATCACCTACAAATTATTAAAATAAGCAAGTAAAGGATACGGTAATAGGGTATTGCACTTGGCAGACAAGACAACCCAGGACTGCAGCACAACAGGCTTCTCATAGATTTCCTTGACTTCTCCCATCTCAATCTCATCAGGATCGGAGCCGACTATAAGATG